TTGTAACGCAGATAGATAGACAGACACGCTAAGAAAAATGGCTCTCTTGCCATATAATCAAGGTATAAGTGATACAATGCATAAAATCTCATCTCTCTGAGAGGTCGAACCGCAAAAGTGCATGCCCACCGACAGAAAAGCTGTAAATAACAGCACATTTTCATGTACCGGGGATTTCTTTTACTCTGCGGGTGAATGCCGCCATTATCAGGGATGCAAAATGTTTCATGATAGATTGACTAATTCTGGCTGGTTCTTATTTGTCAAACGTCGGCGTGAATAACCCATTTTTGAGGAAAACTTATAGAATCTTTTTGAAAGTTCAAAAAACCTTTATTTTTTGTTTTTATAAAAAGTCCCTAACATCTATACTTAAGCATGTTATGGCGAATATTGTTACTAATTACCACCTCAATTGAAAGTGATCGTTACCACTTTACAATTCATTTAACTTAAAATACTTGCCATACACAGGGCGGTTCACACCACCAGTATTATAACTCAGGGATTTAAAAAATGTTAAGAAATACCCCAGGGATCTTATTAACAGTGTTGTTTTCTATCGAATGACTTGAAAATTAGATCCCCCCATTTTCTTATCTCGATTCTACTCAAATGAGTATGAAGAATTTATTATTTTTGTGGTGTGAACAGGTGGCGCTGTAATCGCAGAAACTAATTTTAATTTGCTTATGTTTATTTATATTTATAAAAATATCATAGAAAAAAATCTATTCAGTTAATGGCCATAAATGATATTGAAATTTAAAAAACTGTAATCGTAAACATTTAATTGACCAAGATACAAATGTACTGCAATTAGTTTATGTGATTACAGCACCACATGTTACCAGGACAAAAAAAATGTTTCGAATAAATTCTTCATACTTTGTAGGTAGAATCGAAATATGGAATAAAAAATGTGGCTCAATCTGGATCTGGATCATGCGATAGAGAACAAAAATGTTAGTAAGATTCCTGAGCTATTTGATATACATTTTTAGGGCCCTCGGTTATAAAACGGATGTACGGACAGACTCAACCACCCGGCATATGCTCTTAGCCTAGATCCAATAATTAAATTAGTGTAAGTACTATCACATCAGTATGTAGATATACAGAGTAGAAATGTTGTCTCGAACACTGAATATATCTTCAAAACAACATTTGTTAAAGAAGCTTTTTATGATGTCCAAAATTATACACATTTTGCTACCAATGTACATTTTTCAAATTGTGGCCAGTGGCGTACATCTGCAAAGTCAAGGGGGGGGGCATATATATTTTTTAATAGCATCCACTATTTTTTATTACATATTCTTTTTGGACCTGTTTAGATATAGAAACGTTAAATGACAACAAAATTTAATAGAAAAACCCAGCCTAAGGAAAATATTTGTTTTATAATTTCACTAGTTTGCGTTGACAACGCACACCACTGTTCGTAGTTTTTATGTTTGTTGATTTATTAATAATTTTTATACAATAAATTATTTTTTTCGACGCAAACCAGTAAAATTAATTAAATTAATGAACACAACTATTTTCCTTGATTTTTTATGCCACTATATCCAAAAAAGTGTACTGTTCAATAATATGTAATGAACACTAGTAGTAGTTGCCCTCATTGGTCATGCAGAAGTACGCCACTGACCACAAATTCAAAGTACACAGGTACGTCGATTGGTAGCAAACTTTTTGTAATTGTAAAAATTGTAGTTTTGAAGTTCCAGACAAAACTTCCACCCTGTATATTTTGCAAATTAATTGTTAGTACCCTTTATTCGCATTTTATTGCACTATATGGTCTTATTCGTCAGAATCTCCTGATAAGTGAAATCCCCACTATGCTCCCCTAGACAAATGTTGCTAGAGCTCCAGCTCCTCTCCTAGAGATCCCTCAAAAAACTAGAGAAGAAAGTGATTCGAGTACAAAAATACGTTGCAAGTCTGTGATGCTAGACTTAACCGTACTTTTTGTATGGTAGATCAGTAAGCCTTCGAAATAGATATTGCACGAATTTAGCTTCTGGGGCATTCAGATAATACGTTTGAAACATTTTCCCAACGGTATTGATGCGTAAATATCGGATTTTGACATTAGTTGGCCACAACACACGTTGTCGATACCTTCCTGACTAAGCAATGCTGAGAGTAACTCAATAATGCCGAAAATCCGAAAGTTTTTTTTTATATTTTTTTATTTATTATCCCTCTCTTGTTCTTGGGCCCACAACAGGCATGCGCCCAATTACAGAGTGACCCGCATATTGCTATTTAGAGGTGCCTCTGCAGAAGGTCTTATGTTGGTCTATACTACTCCAGTATTTACCTTACGAATTAGGAAAACTGCAGGAAAACCTAATTCGGAGTAGCCGGTAGACTGCTCGGAACTGGTCTAAGGTAATTTCCATCTCCGCCACAGATGAAAAATTCACCTCAACCCAGGTTCGAACACCCGACCTCCGGATTTATAACCCAATGCTCTACCACTGAGCCATAAAGTTCTACGATATTCCGTTGCTGAGGTGTCAAGCGATAAGCTCTTCGCGGTAATATGGCTCGTCAAGTAAAATACAGTTTGGCAATATAGAAAAAAATAAGAAATAATGGGCATAATTCTGATGTCTTGAGAATCGTTCCGGTCAAAAATTGGGTCCAGGCACGGTGTAAAATAAATAGAGGTGTATGAACTGCTCCTTCGGTTTTGGAGCAGTGTCGTGGTCGGAACAACGTAAGAAAGAGACGACAAACTTAGGTTCAGTCTCACTTCCGCTGCTGCAGTTTTCTTACAAGAATCGTGTTTGCGTGCATTTATTTCATTAAAATCTTCTTTCCTTGTCGACATCTGCAATACCTTTTAATGCTTATAATACATACACGGATTAAGGTTCACACGTGCCGTCAGTCGCAAGGTTTTCTGTGCAAAATTACATGTGCGTTTTTTTAATATCATTTTTACAGCGCAACGTATGAATGGATTAAAAGTGGAAGTGTAATAGACTGAGTCTATATTTTCCTTTTCTCTTACATTACATTGGCCATAAATTGGGTTCACTTCGTACTTATAATAAAGATCAGGAATTCATACATCTCTTATTATTTTTATACATACTAAGATCCAATGAGCCTGGGTGGTCAGTTCTCCCCGTTTCAATTCATTGCTTGATGGTGATGAACTAAGACGCAATTCGAACAGCGCACCCTGAGGAGTGTATAAATAGCCAAGACTAAACGTAGGTTCATTTATTTAAATCACTCCAGATGCAGTCGATAGACCTTATCGAGTTGGCTAGTTTTTATCATGGGTACAGACATCCTCAAAACACATATTCGAAGATGAATGTTCTGTTCAAAAATTAGTCGCAAAAAACGTGTAGGTAACTTTGCGATTTTCTTGACCGTTTTCGCACAAATAACTGCACAGGTTTCAGAGGGGTCTTCCGGTGACAAAATTCGACCTTCCATGGGCGGTTTGGATCGGCTGATTACGCTAAATTTCACTTTCGGAAATGTGTATCTTAGGGATGAGTTTTGAAGACATACATAGGTACCTACATAGTGGATCGATTCGCAAACTATTAAAACTATGTCCATGTTTTCATCTATTCAGCCATTTTTCGTCCAAATCGATGCATGAGGTTACAGAAAATAGTCGCTTCAGTCATTCATTTCTGTTCGTTATGAGGTAAGGTTCCTCATAGAGGTTCTGTCACATTTATGCGCATAATCATAGCGCATTTTTCAAAACAACTTGAAAGATACGCGGTAAGGTGTGGACGTAATAGTCCGTCGATGCGACTCGATCAAAAATCATTAACAATGCACACGTTATTCAGATGTAATCAAAACTAATGGTGCGGAATTCTTCGAAGAATAACGGAGAGCGTCTGTAATTACTCATTTGTTTTTTGGGTCTTGGGTCCTGGGCCCTGGCTCAGAATTTCTATAGGCCATATAAAAAGGCAATTGATTGCTTGTACAATGCAGTTGTTTCTGCGGCGGTACTTTCGATAGGTAAGAATAACACGCTTTCTTCGATTCTGATCTTATTTCTACACGTAATTTGAGTTTTTACTCCGTGCACTAAAGCAACGTGTGGAAATATATAGTCACTTTCATTTCCATTGCGACTCATGGTCTAAAGACTCAAGAGTCGAGGTGACAGTAAACAATTGAATGTCAAATTAATGATTATATTCAAATGTTCCTTGAATGAATCATATCTTATGCGGTCATTATACCTACTATACACATTAGCATTAGCTTCTTCAGCGATTTTTTAATAATCATTTCTACACAATCGTCCATTTATTATTCCATCGTAACAATCATAAAATTTTTTTTTCAAATTTTCGTTAATCATCGAAGTACAAATATACAGGACTATGGTGTCTGCTACTTTCTCGGTGAGTGCTGCCATTAACTTCGTGTTGGGGCAAAAATTACACCCTCGCGATTAAAGCGCACAATTCTATAATTGTACTATTGTCACAAAGTAGCCTAATTATCCTTACAATATCTAATGATCGTATAGCGCGAAAAAACGCCGAGATTTAACATTGAAAATAAAGTTTGTCAATGTCAGTTCCGTTATAGTCGTGAGCTCTTTTAACCGATTGATGGCCCTAAATTTTTACGCACTACGTCAGAGGCGTGTCCTTTTTTCAAATTCCCACCAATGAGAGGTATTCGAATTGTTTTTTGGGTTTGTTACAGTTTTACACGAAAGTTCATTGACTGTAAAATAATGCAACTGATAGTGACCGAATCTTCATCTATTAATTCAATGTACAAAACACTTCAAATATAATTAGTAGATACTGTATCAACCGCAAAATTCCGATAGAATTATTTATAGATTACAATTCGCGGATTTGAATATCAACAGACTTGATGGTGGCGCCCTGAAACGGACATTAACCTCACTTTTACTAGAAATTTATAGCTCTTTGGTTCACAATTAAAATTGTTAAATAATTTCTTTGTACAATACTCACGTTGATGTGGTAACCACTTTCGTTCAGGTTCGGTGTGTCTTTCTTGAGATTTAGAACTTCCCGCCTTAACGATTTGCTTATTTGGGTTTAAATAAAATTGATAAAATTGCGAAGTATTGTCGTATACTTTCGCATCGACGATTGGTGGTGAAACTCCGGGCGTTAAAATTGCTTTTAAGGGATCGAATTTTTCACTAAAAAAATCCAAAGAAGGATCGTAATCTTTCCGTGATTGTTGCGCTTTTTCATTTTCCGCCATATTGTTTACTGCACGCGTCAATTGGGAAGAGACTGGTTACACGTGACAATATAGACTAGGTGGGAAACTATGCTAAAAGTAATCTGCTCCGTAATGTTAGTCATTGACACTAAGAGGGCGACACTTTCCCTTTTCAAAGTATATTCAAACAACCTACGAGAGCGTCAATCTTATCGTAATTTTCTTTTTCTTGCAGGTGCAATAAAAAGCTGCTTTCATGTGTTGGAGAAGATTTGATATACACCGTGATATTTCTAGGTAAGATTTGGTTTACACGCGCCTCTCCTCGTCTCCATTAAAAAAGTGATTATTGCACAATGTTTCATTTAATAATTAATTACGGAATTTCTAACAATTTACATGATAATAATCTACTTTCACTACTTGTTTACATATTTTTTAATAGGTAATTTGTGAAAGTAAACTTTACCAAATAGAATAATTAAGTAGTCATAAATTATGAGATTAAACTTTAATCTCATTAAGCACCTTTTTAATTAAATTGTTGAAATTCTATTATTTATTGTAGGGTTATTCAATGCATTTTTATTCCTTTCCATTTCCATTCCATTGCTTCTACATGATACTGATTATTCATTATTGAATCATTCTTCAATGTTAACGTTTAAAAAATTATTTGAAAAGTACTTATACAATGCTCTGGAATTTGTCATACTTACTACCTTATTAGCTTTGTACTAAAGTGGTTGCCGCACGTGTGATAGTAAGTTTGGGGTTTTAAAGACATCATTTAATTTACTTCAAAAATTAGTGGGGATTGAAAATGTTTAATTGATGATGCGATAAAGAAATAAAGTTTTTCTATTTCGGTGTCACAATGATGATTTTGTACAACTGTTTTCGGCCGAAAACAGTTGTACAAAGACAGTGATTATAGTCGTTTTTTTTGGTAACTCATCTCTTAAGTTGGCAGTTACTAGTTAGTACAAGTAGGTACTTCGTTGGGTACTTCCATGTTTGAACTTCAAAATGTCAGTCTTACTACGCTGCCAACCTAAAACTTAACGGCATAAAAAGTGTTCCCAACATAAAACATGTTAGTTCTAATGTTCCCTATAGTTTCTGATAATGATTTTTTTAATTAAATTAAAGCACCGAAATAGAAAAAATAGTATGAAAAACGCGTGTTACAATGCTTTATTGTAATACTCCTATCTTGCGGACACTCGTGGCTACGCTTCGCGTCGCCACTCGTGCCACAAGATAGTCGTATTACAATAGGTCGCATTGTAACACTTGTCTTTCAATATACTATTTTCTATTTCGGTGTCACAATGATGATTTTGTACAACTGTTTTCGGCCGAAAACAGTTGTACAAAGACAGTGATTATAGTCGTTTTTTTTGGTAACTCATCTCTTAAGTTGGCAGTTACTAGTTAGTACAAGTAGGTACTTCGTTGGGTACTTCCATGTTTGAACTTCAAAATGTCAGTCTTACTACGCTGCCAACCTAAAACTTAACGGCATAAAAAGTGTTCCCAACATAAAACATGTTAGTTCTAATGTTCCCTATAGTTTCTGATAATGATTTTTTTAATTAAATTAAAGCACCGAAATAGAAAAAATAGTATGAAAAACGCGTGTTACAATGCTTTATTGTAATACTCCTATCTTGCGGACACTCGTGGCTACGCTTCGCGTCGCCACTCGTGCCACAAGATAGTCGTATTACAATAGGTCGCATTGTAACACTTGTCTTTCAATATACTATTTTCTATTTCGGTGTTACAATGAGAATTTTCTGCAACTGTTTTCGGCAAAAACAGTGTTTCAATGAGTTCCATTGTAACATTGTTTTTGGTAACTTTTCATCTCTAAGTTGGCAGTTCCCCAAGACGTCAACGTCAAATCATCAGATGTGAAATCAAATTACGTAAAATTTATGTGTTTTCCTTGATTTTTGGTACACGAAGAAGTTAATACATTCCAAATCAGCAGTTTACACATCCACCATAAATAAATTTATCTACGAATAAAAAATTACACATCATTCAGGTAATTTAAAGTTTCCACATGTCAGTGTTGTGTTTATCTCGCTGCCAACTTAAAATTTGTCAACGAAAATGGTGTTGCCAACTTAAGACATATTAATTCTAAAGTTTCCTGTAGTTTTTCATAATTACTTTTTAATTAAATTAAAGCCCCGAAATAGAAAAAATAGTATGAAAAACACGTGTTACAATGCTTTATTGTAATACTCCTATCTTGTGGACACTCGTGGCTCCGCTTCGCTACGCCACTCGTGCCACAAGATAGTCGTATTACAATAGGTCGCATTGTAACACTTGTCTTTCAATATACTATAGAACTATTTCAAAAATGATACGGGGTTAAGATAATTGGACTGAAGATGTGATAAAGATAAAAAATAAATAAAATTAGAAATCTTCCTGGCTTTTTTCTGTTTTTTTTTCGGTTTTTGGCCACGAGTAGGTATTAATAGGAACCAAAGAGAGAACAAGAAATTTAGCTAAATCCATTAAAGTTACTGAGTACTGAAATTAGTGGGTAATAAAACTAGATATAAACGCATTTCTATTTATTGGGTTATTGAAATGTCAATGACTTAACTATAAAAATTGGATTTTCTATGTGCAATCGATTTTTACTAAGATGGTCCATCTGCTGAACTATAGGTACATGGTGTATGGTGTGTGATGTATATTTCTAAAAAGGTTTCAGGATTTCTCAGATTCAAAGAACATTTCTAACAAGAACATATTTAAGATTTCTTTGACGTTCCTTACGAGTCCTAGCAAGATTTTGAAAGTATATGTAATCCTAACATTTCAGCATTAGAGAAAGGGGTTTGCTTAAAGGGAAAGGAAACGATCTGAGTGCAAGAATATCGATTTTGACATGTTTTGATCAAAATCCACGTGGTCGCCAAAAATAGATCAAACTCATATTTTGGTCATTGACATAATGCTCTTGGTCTTTTTCCCAACGATCTTGGTGCATCAGTAACGATTTTGACATGTTTTGATCAAAATCCATGTGGTCGCCAAAAATATATCAAATTCATGTTTTGGTCATTGAGATAATGCTCTTGGTCTTTTTCCCAACGATCTTGGTGCATAAATATCGATTTTGATATGTTTGATCAAAATCCACGTGGTCGCCAAAAATGCATCAATTCCCTGTCTTGAGCATTGAGATAATGCTCCTAGTCTTTTTCCTAACGATCTTGGTGCATAAATAACGATTTTGACATGTTTTGATCAAGATCCATGTGGTCGCCAAAAATGCATCAAATTCATATTTGGGGCATTGAGATAATAATGCCCCTAGTTTTTTTCCCAACGATCTTTGTGCATAAGTAACGATTTTGACATGTTTTGATCAAAATCCATGTGACCTCAGAAAAATAATTTAACATCTTTGAATCACACACATGCGGTTATCAAATGTGCACGTGATGTACTCTTTCAGCATCAAGATAATGCGTTTGAAACTCGGTTTGAAAGCTTTTACAACTCCAAATTTTGTGTAAAAAATAATTTTGGGTACATTTTGCTCTAAAAATTTTGATCTATACCAGAAAAGTTATGTTGAATTGTTACACATCTAAGAGTCTAGCGAAAGTCCGAACTCGATACATGACCTAGGGAAGGAAATGTGTTGATTTCTATTATATTGAGCCCGCAGTTTTTCCCAAATGTTCCCGATTCTCTCGAAGTCCTATCACTTTTGTTCCTGTTGAATCAGCTTCCTGAAAATCAATAGCGTCCGCCCTTAATGTCCAAAGTACCCGACTACCCGTACACCAAATTTCGACACAATCGGCCACTTTTAAAAAGAGTTAGAGCGCACACGGACGGACGGACGACAATACAAAACTATAAAGGATCTGAGGATCCTTAATAAATAAAATCCCCATATTAGTCAATTTAAAAAGACACATTAATGATCTTAATGCCATACTTCTTTTTAAATGAACAAATACGCCTTAAACAATTGTGAGGCAGGCGAGCGAGTTGAGCTCGCCTTCGGCTGCCGAGTTTTACGCATGAGATGATGTTACTCCCGTTCAAAACAACTTTGAGAAATATTAAAGGTTCTTGAGAATGAGATGAGGGTATACGTCTTTCAAAAACACAACATAATAATCAAGGATAAAAATGCAAACCCTATAAGGAGCATAAGTTCACATTTTATCGCCTTCACATTTGAAATACTAACGTTTGTTATAAATATCTTTGAGTTGAGAAATAAACTTACTTACAAAAATTATTTTTTTAAAGACTTCTCATCCTTCATATCTTTACTAACTGTAAAAAAAGTAAAAAAAATAATAATACTACGTGTGCCGCGAATTTTGTATAATAATTTTAGTGTGCCACCAAACAAAAAAGTCTCAGAAACACTGTAATTAACCTATGGCTTATATAGTTATTGGTACAACTAATTTTGAAAGTACTTTTTTTCATGAATTTGCAGTTTGATTAATGAGGCCGAAAGCCCGAGTTAACCAAGCAAATTCATGAAAAAAAGACACGTTCAACACGTGTTGTACACGAATTTTTTTTGCATAGTGATCCTTAATACCCATAAGTGCATAATATCATTGACATTCGCCATTTTTTGTCACTCAACAATTGAGCTATTGGTCATAGACAGGACGAAACGCCTTGGAAACGCACAGTAAAAATCGTTAAAAAAAGTACCACTTTCCATACGATTTTTCGCCAATAGTATATTGGAAGACAAGTGTTACAATGTGACCTAGTGTAATACGACTATCTTGTGGCACGAGTGGCGTAGCGAAGCGGAGCCACGAGTGTCCACAAGATAGGAGTATTACAATAAAGCATTGTAACACGTGTTTTTCATACTATTTTTTCTATTTCGGGGCTTTAATTTAATTAAAAAGTAATTATCAAAAACTACAGGTAACTTTAAAATTAATTTGTCTTAAGTTGGCAACACCATTTACGTTGACAAATTTTAAGTTGGCAGCGTAGATAAACACAGCACTGACATTTTGAAACTTTAAATTCCGTGAATGTGTAATTTTTTACTCGTCGATAAATTTATTATGGTGGATGTGTAAACTGCTGATTTGGAATGTATTAAGTTCTTGGTGTACCAAAAATCAAGGAAAACACATAAATTTTACGTACGTAATTTGATTTCACATCTGATGATTTGACGTTGACGTCTTGGCGAACTGCCAACTTAGAGATGAAAAGTTACCAAAAACAATGTTACAATGGAACCTTAGACCATATAGTACATGGACTGCTATTCGCCCTATGCTTTCAATACAAAATGGATGGTCACGGATAGAGGGCACTGTAGTCGTGGGGATGTGAATCTCAGGGTAAACTAAAGTCGTGTAAACACCACTAGGATCGCTTAAAGAGCAGCTTTATAGTACCCGCGTAGTACGGGAAGCTTTAAATGCTCTTCATTATTTGCTATACGTCCACAAATAAGAATAAGTTTGCTTTTTTTGGGATATCTAGGCGATTAATTAATTGACGTTTGTTAATTTATAGGTTGACAATCTCAAATCGTGTCTCATCGGACAACTTCGGACAGGCTCGTTTACCCTGAAACTCACATACCCAGGCGATGTCCTTGACCATATTTTAGTTACAATTAGCAGTCCATGTACTATATGGTCTAAGAATGGAACTCATTAAAACACTGTTTTTGCCGAAAACAGTTGCACAAAATTCTCATTGTAACACCGAAATAGAAAAAAAAATTAGTAGATGCACTGGGTGTATGTCGAGTTCCTTAGCAACAACAAGGTTTTGTGAGCTTCTTGCCATAAAAGCACTTTCCTTTTCTTAGACTTTCTTGAATGTTTTGTGATTTTGATGACATTGTTCGCTGAACTAAATGAAAAAATTCCTCGTGTGAGATCGAAGGGACTTAGCGCGTTTTTGTGTGGCAGATCAGTGTTAAAATAGCCAGTGTTGACTCCACCATCAATAAAAGATCTTGTCGAAGGCTACCACATTCCCTTTGTTGGTACCCACTTCCGACGCCCCGTTCACCTCAAATTCGCGTTTGAAGTTTTCACTCCACCATCAGTTAGATCTTGTCGGAGGCTACCACGTTTCCTTTTTCGGTGCATACTTACATTACACCCACATTTTGGTGGATTTCGCTAAAAACCTTCCACAAGATAGTACTTAATTTGTGGGCCACTTATCATTGCTCAAGCTTCTATTGGCGACACAAGAAAGAGAGACAGCGATTCGAGATTTACGAAACGTTAAACCGCGTGACGGAAGGTAAAAGGCGCTCGAAGTTGACTACCTCTCGAAGACGCCCGCGCGCCTTGCAAAAGGTCGTTAATTTCGCCCCTAGGACAAAAAGCAACATAATAGTAGAAGATAGGAAAACACTGAAAAACCTTCACGTTAGTAAACTAGGCTCGAGGATGACGCCCAGATGTCGCCAACCCCACCTCATGTAGCCCTGTCCCTAAGGTTGACAAATTGCACGGCCTTGTAGATACACGTACACCCGTTGCCTTTCCACAAGAGTTCTTCTACGCGCCTACATTTGCTGCCAGCCAGCCAGCCAGCCAGCAAAAGTGAGATTAAAAGTTACTTTTTACAAATAAATTTGCAAAAATGCGCCAAAAACAAAAGTAATGAAATTCGCGAAGAGAGAGGATAGGAAACAGATAACGATTCGGATAGCAGATAGGGAACAACACTAAAGGAGTTTTATTATATTTAGGTAGTAAGGTTACACGTTACACAAGTTAATCTTCGTAAGGAAGATATAAAGTGCAGGGTAAAAAAATCATTTGAGCAAAAGCGGGACTTGCTAAGATCCGGGATAAATATAGGAATTAGGATGCGAAACCGGGACGGTAGTCAGGGCAGACAAAAGACACAAGCATTCAAAATGTGGTGCTATAGAAGGACAATGACCAATGAGGATTAGCTGGAAGGATAGGGTAACAAACGAAGGACTCGAGAGCTAGTACCGGAAAATAGAGAAACGTGGAAAACCGTACAGAGAAGACGAGATAGAATGATAGGGCACGTGCTCAGACACGGAGGATTAGTACAGCTAGCTATAGAAGGTAGGTCAGAGGGCAAGAGAGGTGTAGGACGCTTAGCTTAGGTACATAGACCAAATACGTAGGAACGTAAGCAAGAGTGGTTATGTAGAAATGGAAATATTACCGCAGGATAGGAAAGTCCCACCAATCTTAGGATTGTGGAAAAAGATCAGAAATATGAAATGAAGACGGATGTGACGCATTCTTTCCTGCAAATATGATGTGTTTTCGAAAATGTTCTAGAAGTTTTTGTTGACTACATAAACAAATAGAATCGTGTTTAATTTTAAGTTCCAACATCGATGCCGAACTGATAAAAAGTAAGACATTCACGTTCGCTTGTTATACAGGTACATGTTTGAGTATAACGCGCCATTTTGGCTGGTAATGTTTGAAAAATGTTTACATAATCGGAAAGAGGATAGCAAAAAACCTAGGAAAGCCATTCGTTCCAATTTTCTGTTTGTTAAAATGGATCAGAAAACAATTAAAGAAGAAATGCAAATTTTGGGACTTACATATTTAGAAAAAAATGTTTGTTTAAATCTCCTTAACGCCAACATTTTTTGCATACTTTATTGTTACACCATGTGGTTTCTCTTTTTGACACGGGTGCGACGATTTTCGATACATTTCATGAAAAGGATTGGTGACGGAAGCTCAATTAATGTTCCATTATCGTTTCACCATTTGTTTAGGGGTTCCTTCTAAAGATTTTCATTTTCCATCATGGAATTTGTGTATGAAATTAGAAAATGTGGTGTAACAAAATTTCTTAAATTTGTATTTAAAGATCAATAAACCGATACAACGGCTTACCGAAGGATCCTCAGTATTACCATCACTTTTTAGTCAACAAACAGGCATTAAGTTCATGTGTTGGCCATTGAGATAATGCGTCTTTCCCAACTATGTATGTTAATGCACGAATAACGATTTTAGTATGTGGGCTCAGAAAAAGAATTTAACATCTTTGAATCAAACATAACGCGGTTATCAAATATGCATGTGATGTACTCTTTCTGCATCAAGAGATAATCCGTTTGAAAGCGTTTACAACTACAAATTCATGTGTAAAGAATAATTTTGGGTACATTTTGCTATAAAACTTTGATCTTGACCACAGAGAAGAGTTATATTGACATCTGAGTCACAGGGATAATCAGGCAAAACTCCCAACTCGATACATGACAGAGGGAATGAAATATATTGATTTCTATTAACAATTTTTCCTGTTCCCGATTCACTCGAAGTCCTATAACTTAATCAATAATCAATAGCGTCCTACCAAAGTACCCGTACGCCAAATTTCAACACGACCGTTTAAAAAGAGTTATAGCGCATACGGACGGACGGACAGACCACAATACAAAAGTATAATAAAGTATAAGAACAGAGATATTTTGTTGATAATGGAATGCGATATAGATAATCGCAAACAAGCGTTCATTCATTTCTTCTACCTACCACATTCGGAAATACTACTGTCCGCCATTTAGTACCTAGACAAATAAATACGCTCAGGCATGAAGACATTTTAGTTTTGAGTACCTACCAAATTTTGTTCCAATCGGTTCAGCTGTTTAGCCGAAAATTAGAGTACAGCCCGACAACGTGGAGATTTTGTTTGATTCGGAGTCCTTCCAATGCAATACCTCCCTTACTAATGTGAGGGTGGTAAAAACATAGCATTTAATTCATTTACTTAGAAGAAATTCGCCATAAAGCGAGTATTGGTTTCAAGTAATTAAAACCAGAAAACCAAAACCGTTGTGTTCAAACGATGGGCGAGGTGATGGAAGGGCGCTAGCGCCTCCTGCCAAAGGCAAAAATTACAACCCTTATTACGCTCTAGAAAATGATCCAGAAAACAGACGGACAGGCAAATTGCGTGGAATGTGTGCTAAAGGGCTATTTATTGAAAGTATACCCATTTTGAACTACCTATGAATTCAAATGCTTTTTGGTATTATTTTGATGACAACAATTAACGTACAAAGAGCAGGGGGGATTAATTATAGTACCCAGCGTCTGACACCCTCATATTCTAAACATACTTTTTGATTTCAGATTATTACTGAAGACAAGAAAAAAGAGAATTAGATAGTAGTATATAACATATCGGCGCAGTGGTTGAGTTAAGATTGCATCACGAAGCGGAATCCCGCGGCCACACGGTGGCGGGGACACAGGTCCTACGGGCCCCATCGCCGATGTCGCTGGCGATGCCCTTTATTGACAACGATCTCTTATGGTGTCCTGATAACGATGGTAAAATGGTAGACCTATCGTCATGCTTACAAGTAAGTAATTTCTGTTAGATTTCATGCCTAATATTGTTTTTTAAGGACGCTGCATCTGTCGCTATCGGTCAACAGAACGGGGCGACTGCGGCTGGTGGTTTGGGAGAATTATCGCAATCAGATCTCACTTCGTTAGTTCCAGGATTGTCAGACGAACAGGAGCATATTCCTGATACCGAAGATATTTTTAAACAATTAGGAGATACAAATTTCGAATTAGACCATTTATTTACTGAATTCAACCCTGGTGATATTAAAGTAAGTTATCTGTAAATTATAACGTAGTACTGTAACAAAATCAATTCGAGCTATTCGCCGGTAGATGACAGCACTTTCATTTACAGCAAGAAGAAAATAATAACGTACCAAATTCCAACACTGAGCACAAGAGCGCGCCAGTAGATCGTCGATCGACAATAAAGTTTACTATCGCAGCAGCGAATCCACTCCTGGCCGAGAAATTAGCTACACCTAGCGGGCAAACGTTACAACTTAATACTTACGATGGCAGACATGAGGTGGCGCCACTAACACCGAAAGTCGAAAAAGGTAGGAAATGTGCAAATTTTCTCACGATATTAAAGATTGTACCATTTTTAAGAGAACAATGCCTATTGTGATGATTACAATTACAAAGACGGAAAGTTTTACGCGCATATTTATTATTTAGTAGGTAGTACAACTTCTGGTCTTGAATAATTTTTTGCTGTTCCTTGTTCCGTTGTTTTTCCTACAGGGTGTAGAAACGGTTTACATATTTCAATTATTTATATCGAAATATTTTTTCCCCTAATTGATTTAGCGCAAAGTTGTAAATAGTTTTCTTGTATCTTGAAAAATTATGCGTCTGCTCCTGTCCTCATTTATGTAATTTTATATAGTAAGGACGAATTTTTGTTTCAATAATTTCAGCGGGGAACGCCGCCTACATTATGGGCACTTTACCTCCTTCGGTGCCCATGGAGGAAATGTTTTACCTTGTATAAATTTATTATTGTTTGATTTAAGTTTTATTGTTATGTTAGTTAAAATTAAAACATTTTTACATTTCAAGGCACAAGTTATTTTTACTAAAATGCTAATTTATAATTCCCTTAATTTCTCCGATTTCCCACAACAAAAAATTACAAATGGGCACATTTTTATGATCTACAATTTATTTACAACTTTTGTTGTAAAACAATTAGGGGAGAAAATATTTCAATATAAAGAAATTACCTATCTCTCGACCCTGTATACAAAAAAATTATTTTTGTCAAAATATTTTGGATGAAATTTAAAAAATGTGCGTCTGTGGTGTGCAATTGTCTTTTAATATTATTGAATGAATAAGGTGGGTCAAGTAAAATTAGAGATACATCTATGTTTCTGATTAAGGTATATTTTTATTTGTTTTGTATTATGCAGGAATCGAATATTACCCTCCTTCCATAAAAATTTTAGTGTGCAAACATTTTTTTGTAATTTTCTGGGAACTGAGCTGCATAGTTTTTAGTTGGGAGATAGCGACATTAGTAAGTACCTACCTATTGTAGCGATGCGAGCTGTATCTAAGATGTCCTTAATTTCTTGGTCGAATGAACTAGATTTTTTTTAATTGAAAGGTTTTGTTTGCTATCGTAGGAACATTTTTCAACGAATATAACAATATACAATATACCTAGGTTTATTTTTTCAGTAGTAGGTATACAAATTGTGGTTTCTTTTTATTGCAGCCACTTTCTCTGTCCGTCGGTCCGTCCGATGCTCCTAAAGTTTTTAATATAACTATATTTAATTCGTTAGCTTTTAGCTCTGGCACCTGAGCCAAGAGGGTTAATGTGCCCAACTTTCTTATTTATTGAGATACTTTTTTGAAATTTTAACCACAGATGCTTCTAGTAAAGGCAAACGTCAGTTTCCACCAGTTGTTTCCAGGGCCGGCTCAAGGCAAAAGTTACGTGCCCGCCTCGCTAAAGCCTGAATAATGGGAATTTTGACGGACTATTTGTGTGTACAAAGGAAAATAAGTTATGGCATAAATATTCATACTTATAAATAAGAAACTTAAGATTGCGTAGTCTGCGCATGCACACACCTGATGTTTAACTTTAAAGTATGCGATATGATTGTCTTTACTAGACGAATCATGGGTTAAAATTTAAAAAAATCTCTATAAATAAGAAAGTTGACATTGCGTAGTTTGCGCAAGCGCACATTAATCCTCAAGATTTTTCTTGGTTGAGGTGCCAGAGCTATTAGCTACCGAATGCCAAAAGAATGAACTAGACATATCTTGAAAATTATAAAAGTAGTTAAAGCCTCTGAGGAACAGACGGACGAAGAAAGTGGCCATAATAGCGCCTTCCAACATGAGTTAGAAAATGTGCTAAAATTACAGGTTGTCAGTTAATGTCATGCAGACAGGCAGGGGGTGGCAGCACTCGTCAAAATAAGAAACAAGTTAAAAAGTAATCGTAAACGATTTAGAAAAAGCGCATTTCCACTTGCATTCATTTCCCATTTGTAAGATGCAACTTCTGTTCAAATCGTAAAAATCCGGCCACAAACATGAAAGATAGCGTTGCACATGTGCAATCAAATTTTGACGTGCAACTTCAATTTCAGTTTATAAGAAGAATTTCATTTCAATGCTTTCAAAATAAGAAAGTTGCCACTGCGCATGCGCAAAACCAAATTTTGCAAGCGGCGTTTGATTTTCCTTTATTGCAAGTGCCTATGTATTAAATTTCGTTTAAATTCTTCCATAAATAAAAAAGTTGGCACTGCGCATGCGCAAAACCAAATTTTGAAACTGGCGTTAGATTTTCATTTATTCCAAGTGCCTATGTATAAAATTTCATTTAAATACTTTTATAAATAAAAAAGTTTGCAATTCGGTTTATAAATGGTCGAGATGCGAAAAGGGCGCTATGAATTTTGAATCGATTCGACTCAACTTTTGGCATTACGTATTATATGGCTAAAGCTATGCCCATATTGAATTGCATGCGGACGGACAAAGTGGTCACAATAGCGCATTTTTTGAAAAGAATATTCCATTTAAAAATGGAGTTGTAATCCATTGATCATGCGATTAAGAACGTCCGTGTTGGGAACATTTGAACAAATTTGTACAGTTAAAATGATGCACGAACATGTAAAATCTGCCGCTTGTTCCACTGTTTCGCATGTAATAGAAAAATTGCATTTGCAATATGTGCCTAATAAATTGATAGGTGACGTAAATAATGAAAAACCAACCATAATTCTTCACTATTGTACGCCTACAGGTTATTTTGGATGTTAGGTATGACGAATAAGATAAGATATCGCTTTCTAACAAGTTTGTGTGCGTAATTTTTGAATTCTGCTGGTTTTCGGCAGTTTAGTGGTTATCAGTGTATCGGTCTGTTGTGTTGTGTTACAAGGATTCTCATTTAGAAAACTTTCTTCGGCTACTGGTCTTTCAAATGTGATTGTAAAGGTAAGCTTAAATAATTTGCGAGGTAATGTGATTTAATTTCCGAAAGATCCATCTTTTTAATAACAGATCCGTAAAAATATAATCAGTGAGCAAATAATTTATTTATACGAGGGTATATGGTGCGTATCACGCAATTACACAATTTTTCGTCGACCGATCAACAATATTTTTTATTTATTATTTTTTTTATTCATCACAGACTACTTGATTAAAATATAAAAACCGACTGGTATCTTACTATGATAGCTCCTCGGATAGCTCGTTGAAAAGAGAATTAAACAAGTTATAAATTAGCATATGCATGATTAAAGCGCATTTTTAGTAATACAGGTCAGCATTTTATTAGCGAAGTTTAAAATTATCGATCTTACGAGTAATTTTGGCTGCGTTAAATAATTAATTTTAAAAACCATATCGAAATTTTACAAGTAATTTAACTCAAAATAGACTAGAGCCTGCACATCTACACTATAGCAGAAGCTTTTAGTGAAAATTTGAAGTCTCTAGCTATTGTAGTTGCTGAGATTTCACCCGGACAGCCGGCCAGCCAGCCATAACGAATATAATGGCGAAAAAAATACGCTAAAAATCTATTAATTAATCTAAAAATCCAATATGGCGCCTATTTAACTTTTGGAAGTGGTAAATGTTCCTCAAAAGTAACTATCTTGAATTTTTTTACTCATGCAACGCCAAAATTAGATACAATTCCAACTGGCGCTACCATTCAGTCAATCCGATATGCACCTCTGCCGCCTTACCTGCAACTAAGTCTCAAACAACGCACCCTGAACCGGGAGCCGGACCGTAAATGTTGGATTGGGTTCAGGCGAAAGCTCGTATATCCAGTGAGACCACACACTCTAACAGTCGAGAAATACAACACAGATAACTTGCCTTTTATTAATAATCACAGATAATTACAGTCTCGAGACAACCAATTATGCATGAGAATCTATCAGGACCTATGTAATCACAGAATACCCACAGAGAACGAAGGAATAATCCTTACCTTCCAAAAGAAGCGGATGACTAAAATTAAATTCGCTATTCTTCCGCATTGTGCCTCAAATTGCACTAACTACTGTGTGAACCGATCGATCCCGCCATGTGGTAATGGGACTTATCCCTAATTATTCCAAATCCAACTCGAAACGCCTCAAAATTACAGTGTCACACAAATCTTTTCCAACCTTCTTCGGAACGACCTGAACCTAGTCCTTAACGAAACTTAATTAATTTCGCCCTTTCCCAGCTTCCCTTCCGGTTCGGAAAAACTCCGCCTCTCGGAACTAAATAACCCGACCAAAATTGATGCTATGAACCAGAATTCCTACACCTTCCCACATACGGGGTGACAATTTGAAAACTTACCACCCCCCATGTCTTAGTAAATAAACGAGATATTTAAAAAAATCAAAATCCGTTTCGGTAATTCGGAGGGGGAATCACAATGACATAGTTGGCGACGCACCCCTTCCAACCCCCTGCGCCCCAGCTACTCCAACGTTTAAATCTTAAATAGTGACCCCCCTCCCTTGTGATAAGTAAGTGAAAAAATGCTTTCCAACCATACCAAATAGCATTACATTTAGGTTAGTAATTATCGTACAAATCAAAAAATACCGAAACGGATTTTGATTTTTTTAAATATCTCGTTTATTTACTAAGATATGGGGGGTGGTAAGTTTTCAAATTGTCACCCTGTATACAGCGTAATGCAAAAATAGCCTGTTACAATCAAACAGTAGGTAACTTCATAACTTTTATATACCTACAACTTTTTTTATAATCTCTTATACTTTCGATGATATAAGACATTCAAGGAAATGATCAATTGTAGTTTTTTTGAATTTGCGTCGAACCTATTCGACATTTTGAACTTCCACAAGCAAATTTTAAATAAGCATCTAAAACTGCAAAAGTTTGTCCATTTAACCAATTCTCTATCTTTAATAATAAGAAAGTTACCCATGCAATCCCACGCGATTTGGGACACACTGTATTATTATACACGAATACTAATTGCGATATCCCTTGCGCGTTCAATATCGAAGTACTGATTGATCCAAATAATTGATCCATCGCGTGAAAATTTCCAGGTCTCGTATAATGGATGACACCTGTGATTTGTAGTTCAAGTTACGTTCACTT